TATTAAAAATTGGGTTGAAATAGGATTGAATTATATTATATTAACATTATTAATATTAATAATTAAATCAATACCTGAATTTTGAATAAAAAACTTTCCTACATGACTTTTGCATTTTGATATTTAAATGCCTGAAATCTTGTAATTTTCCCTTAATTGACAAGTGTCGAACATTTCTACAGTTTAATTGGCTTACTTATTAATGGGTCAAAATAATTAATTAGATTAATTATTTCATGGACCAAATTTAATTAATAAAATACTAGACCGGCTCAAGTTTAAGTGATAAGCAAGCTCACTTAGACTTTTAATAATAAGATATCAGGATTGAGAAAATATAACACAATTATTACCTTGCTAGCACAAGAAAAGAGAAACTTTAATTCTTTTATGCTTGTTCCCTAAATGAGCATTAATTATAGAGGTTGGACAATTGGACAATGCGTTGTGGAATGCAGATCGTGATTGTTCTTTGTAGAATTAATTAAATGTATAATTTTTGTCACATTTCTATCTAAGCACATAGTAGATCTTTGATGAGAATTGAAATTATTTTAAATTTCACTGTGTATGATAAAATAAATTTCTAATAGTGACCTCAAATCCTACTTTATACTTGTTAGAAATTGCTGTGCATATTAGAACAATCAAAAGTTGACTGTTTTTCTTTTTCTTGAAGCTAGCAATTTAGAAATTATTTTTCAACTTCAAAAATCTATTTTTAAAAGAAAAATTAATTTCTTGGTAAATTATGTGGTCTAAAAATTGGGGGATGCTGGCGGCAAAACCACTGCATAGTTACCCTTCCGTTGCTGGAATCTGTATCGACGAGTGCTGCTTTCCACAAAGTAGGACTCCTATATAATCTTGAACCAAGGGTCAGAGTGCAATTTTAATTGAATTTTGAATATAAATTTTGAAAAGTCTTTTAAATTTAATTTTTCTAAAGGATTTTAACCTAAAATTCAATCTTGACCCAATTAAAATTTTATTTAAAATTGATGAATTTTATATTATAGTCAAACTTGAATTTTAACTAAAAACTTTGACCCTTAATTAAATTTTATTTTATTTAGGAATTTTATCCTAAATTAATATGTTATTTCAATTAGAACTAGAGATGGAAATTAATTTTTTGTTTAATTAAATTATCTCACCCTAATATTTTTGAAATCACAACAAAAAAAATATAGCCTCAAGTACGGATTTTTCGTTTCTAAAACTACGATATCCGTTACGATTACACTTTACCAACATAATATTATTAGCTACTAATCCGTTGTTAATTTGAGGGTCACTAATAACCAACAGATTATGCCGTAGGTAAAGAGTAAACTTTTTACCAACGAATTTTTCGTAGTTAAAGTGTGAATCTTTTACCAACAAAATTTTTGTTGGTAAAAATGATAACCAATGCAAATTAACTTTCCGTTGTTAAATGTCTACCATTACAATTCGTAAGAATCAATGTAATAAATAAGCGCATAGGTGTGAGGCATGATAAAAAAAAATAATTAAAAAATTATACATTTATTTATTATTATTACTATTATTTATTTAATAATTATAATTTTTTTAACTTTTAGCCAACTCAATTAAAATGCCAAAATACTATGAAATATTAGACTTTTCTAAATGGTGGATTTGACTTAACTAAAATTATTTTTTTGTTGAGTACACTTAAGAAGATAAATTCTGAAGGCACATTAAGCTAACACATAAAATGTGTGAAGAAAAATAGTTTTCATTTAATATCTGGGAATTCTATGATGACACAATCGATAATATTATCTACCAAATTTTTTATAAAGACTTGTTGAATAAACTAAAAGTCTTAATATAACAAATGAAATCCTAGTCCAATCAAATTCAAGTATTGATTTCATTAATTTATGTGCGTTAATCATAAATTTATTTCAATAATGGGAGCACATTTAATTTAATTGAAATCCATACTAAATTACGGAATACATTTTAATACATATTAATTCTATACTATTCGTCATTATATAATTTTTGAATCATGAGTAAACATATGAATTTAAGAGGCATACTGAATGCCAATAAATCGATCGATTTTTCTTGATTGGCACCGTAATTTGAGAATTGTTCTCAAACATGACAAAATTGGTTATGCCTTCGCGTAGAAATTTCCAGAGACACACTGAGGACTTGACTTCGAATAAGTTTGTTGCTTAAAATAAATACAGTGATCATGGTAGTACTGCAATATCTATGATTAATGGGTCAAATTAATTAATTAGATTAATTAATTCATGGACCAAGTTTAATAAATTAGATTAATTAAATATTGGAAGTGATTAAGTTTAAATACGGGCAAAGCCCATTTGAACTTCTGTTAAAAATATGTTAGACCTGAAAAACATAACACAATTATTATATTGCTAACACGAGAAAAGAAACTCTAATTCTTTAATTCTTTTTCGCCAAGTGCATTTTTATTGGGGGCTGAAAAATTGGATAGCTATAGATTGCAGATCGTAATTGTTCTTTGCAGAATTAACTAAATGTATGATTTTTTATCACAATTTCTATTTAAATACGAAGAAGATTCTTGGTGAGAATTAAACTTGTTATAAATTCCTCTGTGCATGATAAATAAATTCCCAACTGCACTAACCTTCTTTTTTAGTGGAATAGAAAGTGAGACAAAATTGTTCATTCAGTGAAATGGCTTTTTGTATATAATTGAATTGGAGAAGCATAGGGCAGACAAAAAAGGTGAAAGAAATGAACGAATCTCCTAAAGTAAATTCGGTTGTGCTATATGTACATTACAACTTACAAATTGGTGTACGTACACATGATGTAGTGAAATATGATTGGATCAAAAAAATTCAACCAAATATTGAAAAAATAAAAAAGAATCTTCTCCACTCTCTTATTTACTCCTCATCTAACTGTAAATAATTTTGTAACTCCTTATGTACAAGTATAATTATTCAAGTAAAATAAAAAATGCATAAATATTTCTCTAATGCACTATTTACATATTCAATCCAGGATTGCTACATATTGAAAGAAAAACTGTCATGCAAATGGCAAATTACTTTCTTGGTGCAATTTTGTTGGTGCTATGTCCAATGGCCTGCTTAGCCATAGCGGCAACCAATATTATGACTGATCAATCTTCTCTTCTCAACTTCAAAGCCCACATAAATTTAGATCGTTCACACATTATATCGAAAAATTGGTCGGTTTTTACTTCAGTTTGTGTCTGGATTAGAGTTACTTATGGTCTTCGCCACCAAACAATAATTGCCTTGGATATTTCTAGCATGAATCTAACTGGAAAGATACCATCCCAATTGGGAAATCTATCAGTCATTGCTTCTATCAACTTAACCAGAAACTATTTTTAATGGTAGAGTTCCTCAAGAGTTTATTCAACTCCGACGGTTAAAAATCATGCACTTTGGCTTCAACAATTTCAGTGGCGAAATTCCATCATGGCTTCATTTCTTACCTAAATTACGAGTTTTGATTCTTAGAAATAACAATTTTATAAGCTTCATCCCATCTTCTCTTAGACTCTTTCTAATATATCCATGCTCGGGTTTTGGATCTCTCTTTCAATCCTCTGTAAGGGGAAATTCTACTTATAACTGGGGATGAAAATGCTACTTATAACTTATAAGTAATTAATAAATAATTAGTGGTATCAATCGAGTCACTCATCGTTGAAAGAGGTACAAAAGGATCCACTATGGGCATGCATTGTCCTAAGTTTTGTGTAGGGCTAGTCTCGATCTATTTTGGATCACATGCGTATCTCAAATTGGGTTGGGATGAAGACTGTATTATTTTTGAATTTTGTTTATTTTTCTTCTAGCGGGATGTAGTGCCAATCCTGAATGATTCTCTTTCATAGACAGCCCCGCCGGGGCTCTTGAGTCTAGGCTAGTGTCATTCACTTTGACATCATTAATCGAACATGTAATGTATTTGTACAAACAGGTTGATGTTAAACGAATTGGACATTGCAAGATCAAGCTTGAAGAATCATATAATAGTGTCAAAATCGAAAGAATCAGCAGAGGGTGGGGATAAGATGCTGCAGGAGCAAAATGGACTACTTTGCTCGTTACCTCATCCACATCCAGGTTACACATTTTTCATTAAAATTATATCACACGTAAATATAAAAAATTTCCTTCATTTTTAACCAAACATTCTTCAAAAATTCACTAATCCAATTTACATTTTTCCCAAAAAATTAATTTTAATCGAGATGTTTTTCAAAAGCCATTCCACCGAAAGAACAATTTTTTCTTACTTTTTTTTTTTATATATGAATCAAGTGTCTGAGCTTCGTCCAACTAATCTTGAGGAGTGGAGGCCTTCCCCCTGGTTCGCCACTTGGTAAATCCGGATACGGTCACAGCTTAATACAAACTTGGGTTGGACATTTGGGATACCATTCTCCTCCCTGTAGACTTCCAACTTGCTATTCTATTGAAACGAGGTGGAAAGTGCAAAATCGAATAAAGATTGAAAATCAAACATAATTAATTATTATAGTACAATTTAAAGTAGTTATGAATGGCAGACCAAAAAAGCAAAAGAAAAGAAACGAAATTCCTAAAGTAAAATTAGCTGTGTTATATGTATATTACAACTTAAAATTTGGTGTACATACACATGATGTGATGAGATATGATTGAATCACAATTTCTTCAATCAAATACCAAAAAAAAAAAAAACTTGCGTACTTCTTATTATTATTATTATTATTATTATTATTATTATTATATTATTATTATTATTATTATTAATAAAAAAACTTGCGTTCTTATTATTATTATTATTATTATTATTATTATTATTATTATTATTTTACATCTTATCTATGTGTAAAATTTTATGTAACTCCTTATGTACTTGTACAATTATTCAAATAAAAAAAAAGATACATACATATTTCTCTAGTGTACTATTTATATCTTCAATCCAGGATAGCTACATGCAGAAAGAAAAACTGTCATGCAAATGGCTAATTACTTTCTTGGTGCAATTTTGTTCTTACACTGCCTAATAGCGGCTTGCTTAGCCATGGCGACAACCAATATTACAACTGATCAATCTTCTCTGCTTAGCTTCAAAACTCACATAAAATTAGACTCTTCCCACATTTTATCAAAAAATTGGTCGGTTTCTACTTCCGTTTGTGTTTGGATTGGAGTTACTTGTGGTCTTCGCCATCAAAGAGTGACTGCCCTTGATATTTCTCGCATGAATCTTACTGGAAAGATACCTTCCCAATTGGGAAATCTATCCTTCCTTATTTCTATCAATATAACAGGAAACTATTTTCTTGGTAGTGTTCCAAAAGAGTTGATTCAACTCCGACGATTAAAATTCATGGACTTGAGTGTCAACAAATTCAGTGGTGAAATCCCTTCATGGCTTCATTTCTTAACTAAATTACAGGTTTTGTATCTTTATACTAACAGTTTTACAGGTTTCATCCCACCTTCTCTCTTTAATATATCCACGCTCCAATTCTTGGATTTCTCTTTCAATCCTTTACAAGGGAAAATCCCAGAAGAAATTGGAAATCTTCATAACTTGAAAATACTTGCATTACAAGATAACAGACTCACTGGCGTAATACCATTGCAGATTTTCAACATATCGACAATGAAAATTTTTGCTTTTACAGGGAATAATTTAACTGGTAATCTCCCTCTTAACATATGCCACGGCTTCCCGAGACTCCAAGGGCTTTATCTATCTAAAAATGAATTGGGTGGTGAAATTCCTTCCAATCTATCAGAATGTTTACAACTTCAGGACCTTTCTTTGTCTAACAACAGGTTTAGTGGATCAATTCCAGGAGAAATTGGGAGAATAAGGACGCTTCAGAATTTATTACTTGGTTCCAATGATTTGTACGGTAAAAATCAAGATTGATGACGCATTAGTACTATAATTTTTTGTTTGAAGAATTATTGATGTTATTCCGATCAACATTTTGGTAATTCTAGTCTCTCGTTCTGATTTAACAATTGACAGGTGCAATTCCACGTGAGTTGGGTAATTTGGATAACCTCAAGGAGTTGGACATGGGATCTAATTTTCTTAATGGCTCTATACCAGCCAGTATCTTCAACATTTCATCATTGCAACATATTGATTTTGAACGTTGCAACCTATCTGGTAACTTTTGGCAGCTGTTTGATGGCTATTATTTGAAAATTCTTTGTTTTACTTGCTCATTTTCAACCACACATTCACACAATAAAATATTTTGTACTTAAACCCAATTTCTTTTCCTTTTTTAGCCATACATTCTTCTACAAATTATTATTCAAAACATTTTCCCCCAAACATGGCCTTAATTAGATTAAAAGTTGTTTTACATTTGTCCTTTGTATTTTTATACGGAAATTTAAAGAATGCTGTTTCTTTTAAAGTTTGAGCACTTTATAATTTTTAGACGTAATCCCACAAGAGATTGGTAATCTCTACCACTTGAAGCATCTTCATTCGAACAATAATAACTTAAATTGTTTCATGCCCCCAAGAATCTTCGACATCTCAACATTATTAGTGATTTGAGTTTCAATTAATCAACTTTCAGGCAACCTTGATCCAAATTCGATTGCAAATTCTTCTAAACTCACTACGATAATGTTGTCTTTCAACGACTTTAATGGACCAATTCCAAACTTCCAAGGGAAGCTGAGATTCCTTGAAAAGTTACACTTGGCTTATAACAATTTCATTAGTGAATCTCCAGAATTGAGCTTCATCACTTCATTGACAAGCTGTAGATATCTAACATCGTTGGCTTTTGGCAACAATCCTCTGAATGGCATTCTTCCATTATCAATTGGAAATTTGTCCACTTCTCTTCAATATCTTTATGGTCATAGTTGTGATCTCAGAGGTAGTATTCCAAATGAAATTGGCAATCTCACCAGTTTGATAAAGTTAAGTCTGTCTGACAATGAGTTGATAGAATCAATTCCAGCAAGCATGTTGAATTTGCAAAAGCTTCAAGGATTATATCTTCAAAGAAATAAAATAAGTCAATCTATCCCAGACTCTCTCTGTCAACTGCACAACTTATATGTATTGTTACTGTCACAAAATCTTATAACAGGTGCTATTCCAAGGTGCATAGGTAATATAACTACACTAAGATATCTATATATCGATACCAACAGATTGACTTCCAGCATACCTGCAAGCCTGTGGCTCCAGAAAGATCTTCTAGGGTTGAATCTATCTGCAAATACTTTGAGTGGCTCTCTACCTCAAGAAATTGGGAAACTGAAGGCTACATATCTTATTGATCTATCAGTCAATCGATTCTCTGGTAGTATCCCAAGCGCAATTGGAGATTTACTGACCTTGAGTAATCTTTTCTTAGCACATAACGCACTGCAAGGATCTATTCCGGAGTCGATGGGTAAGATGCTCAACTTGGAGCAACTCGATCTTTCTCACAACAATCTTTCTGGTAATATCCCCAAGTCCTTGGAGGCACTTAAGTATCTCTCATACTTGAACATTTCTTTCAATGACTTAAGTGGTGAAGTTCCTTCTGCTGGTCCTTTCAAAAACTTTTCAAGTGAATCCTTCATGTCTAATGAGGGATTATGTGGTGATCCTCTATATGGTCTCCCATCATGTCCTACTGGTAGACAAAAGAGAAGTAAACAGATGCTTATAGTTGTATTTTCTTTGTTGGGGATTACATTCCTAATTTTAATTGTCACAGCCTTGGCGACGTACGCAATTGGGAAATGCCGAAGGAAATATTTGGTGGAAAATGGAGTAGACTTTGCACCTGTAACAACTCTGAGGGTCTCATATTATGAACTTTTGCGCGCAACTGAAGGGTATAGTGAGAGCCATTTGCTTGGGACTGGGAGTTTGGGCTCTGTCTATAGAGGGACTCTCAATAATGGAAGGGATGTGGCAGTGAAGGTTTTCAATTTGCAACAACAAAATGCATTCAAGAGTTTTGAAGTAGAATGTGAAGTACTACGCAACCTTCGCCATAGGAATTTGTGCAAAGTCATCAGTACTTGCTCTAATCCAGATTTCAAGGCCTTGGTACTAGAGTACATGTCTAATGGAAGCCTTGAGAAGTGGTTGTATTCAAATGACAATGTGTTGGATATCTTGCAGAGAATTAACATAATGAGCAGTGAAGGTTTTCAATTTGCAACAACAAAATGCATTCAAGAGTTTTGAAGTAGAATGTGAAGTACTACGCAACCTTCGCCATAGGAATTTGTGCAAAGTCATCAGTACTTGCTCTAATCCAGATTTCAAGGCCTTGGTACTTGAGTACATGTCTAATGGAAGCCTTGAGAAGTGGTTGTATTCAAATGACAATGTGTTGGATATCTTGCAGAGAATTAACATAATGATAGACGTAGCATATGCGTTGGAATATCTGCACTATGGCTACTCAACGCCTATTGTTCACTGTGATTTGAAGCCAAGTAATGTTCTACTAGATGAAAATATGGTTGCCTACTTGAGTGATTTTGGAATTGCTAAGTTATTGGGTGAAGGCGAAAGCAATGCAAACACTACGACCTTGGGAACACTGGGTTACATTGCACCAGGTAAAGCTCCCATCTTTTACTCCAATCTTTTCTCTTGGGCATTCAGGGTACGTTTAGTCCACCAGATTGGACTGGATAAGTGTCGTTTAGATGGTTAATAATCGTGTTCATTATTAGCAAAAGAGAAAAACAAAGTAATGCTTTATAAATTTTTAGATGTATCGTAGATTACAATATACAACCACATATATATATTTCTAATATAGTATAACGACAACGTAATATATCTAATGAATTTTATAATGTTTGTGCAGAGTATGGATTGGAAGGATCGGTGTCAATAAAATGTGACGTTTATAGCTACGGCATTATGTTAATGGAAGTATTTACACGAATGAAACCAAACGATGAAAAGTATTCTGGAGATTTAACCCTAAGGAGCTGGGTCAATGATTCTATGCCCAATGCAATAACTCAGATTGTAGATTCGAACTTGTTGGGGCCAGAAGAACTCAGCACAAAAAAGTTGAAATGTTTGTTATCTATAATGGAACTTGCTTTAAATTGCTCCATAGAGAGTGCTGGTGAGAGGGTGAACATGAAAGAAGTTGTTGTAGCACTGAAAAATATCAGATTTCAGCTTCTCACCTAATAACATTTTGAAATTTATTAGCATAATGCAATGTTTTCTCTATGTATTGTATAATGATTCTGTGATTCTGTGGATGTCTTGAATGCTTTCTAGAAGTCAGTTTCTGCTTCCTTCTTATTGGCCTGTTTTTATCTTCCTTTTTTAGGAATTTTATCGTTTCAGTCACATTACAAGAGTGTAGTGCTTATCTTGGTGAGAATGTCATGAAGGCACCATAAAGCCTCAAAAAAACAGGAAGAGAAGAGAAGGAAGTAAATTCAATCTCTCTTAATGTTCAAATTGCAGAATTACAATATCTAAGGGGACAAACCTTTCCAAAAATTCAACAAATAGTTTGTACATTTCATTCATAATGGGTATTGTTCTACGGTCATTTCATTTGGAAAAAGAATGATTCTGAATATCTGTTATCTCAAAATTTGACGTAACCTTTTAAAGTTCAAGCTTTGAGTGACCAAACTGGCTAAATAAAATGGCCATGTCCATACCTTGTACCATGGCTGGCACAGCTGTATCATATGGACAGGCACTATAGAAACCAAACTTCCCAGATTTTAGTACTCTTTTCATGTACCTCTTGAACTTGTCCTGACATTTTATATTTGTCAAAATTGAAAAATAAAAATAATAATAATACTTCTGTGATTGGGCAATAATAGAAATTTAAGTGAATATTTCAAACACGCTCACTTCTGAGCAAAGTTTTACAATAAAATGTCGAAAAGAAGAACAGAAACTAGTAGCAGAAAACAATGATGCGGCATAACCCAATTTAAGCAAAGAATTATCACATACGTGTAGTTAATTACTGTGATGATTGCTTCGTAACAACCCTGTAATATTCCTACAAAATATTTGTTACTTTTATAAGAAAATGTGAACACACATGAAAGAAAAATTAGTACATGTAACAATGAAATATTAGTTGATAGGATTGAGGTTCATCACGGCATACATACATTAAAGAGAAACAAATAGAATGCAAATGCTCAGATTTCTAAGATTTGTGTCTCTTAAACTACAACTCCTTTTAATGAAATCTTATAACCTCCAGTATAATGAAACATTAGAATATAACTATATACAGAATTAAATCCACTTTCAAACTGAAAAATAAAAACAAAAACTCATAAAAGAGAGGCTAATGAATTCCTATTTACGGCAGCTGAATAGCTGCTTAGGAAATCCTACAAGAGAGACACATATTGCAAAAGAGAAAGCCAGCAAAAATAGGAGGAAGAAGAAACGATTAAGGAATATTCTTGGCTAAGTAGGAAAGGGCTTGGGCTGCTACCACAAATAGCACCTTGATCCAAAACATTTCTACCTTTCCACTTGCTAAAGAACTCTGCAAATCTCAACTACTTCAAGCACTTAGTGAGAGGTAACCAAGTAAAAAAGGGACCTATGAAAAGGAAAAGGCAAAGAGTGTGATGTTATAAGTTACTTTTTTTTTTTTGGGCCAAAGCCTCTTTTGGAGATTAGAATTAGCAGTAGTTATTTTCCTTTTTTCCATGGAAAAATGAAAACCGAAGGGAAAATCTAAGTTTTTCCAAAACCTTCTACATCGGGTATCTGCACCTAATGCTCAAGTTCCTATACCATCCTTCTATTAACATGGGAATCAATGACCATCATATAGGAACAGATACCTAAAGTGCCTAAGTATTGTTAAGGTAATTGACACAAAACGTCATTACTTTTCAAGTTTATCGTGATATATATCTCTACATGTTATTTTTTGACATTTTCGTCCCTACCTTACACCTTTCTTTGTGGAAAATGTCCTCTTCACCATTTTTTTTTTGCGTAAAATGACTAATATACCCTTATACTTCAACAAAACAAAAGAAAAAAGAAAAGAAAAATAAAACACAAATTGCAAATATACTCCCAAATTTATTAAAAGTGCAAATGAGTCCAATCATTTAACATACATTCATCATTTGAAAAGCTTGAGAAAAGAGCGAATCTTGGGAAGAAGAGGTGTGAGAGGGAAGTGAGAGAGAGCAGCCATTATTGTTCTTAGCATTTCTGTAAGAACATTAAGATTTTTAGAAGTAAATCAATCGAGTGAGATCATACCTTCTTCTGTACAAGTAGATTGAGTTGACAGAAATGGGCAAATTATACAACAGGTTATCAGTATTACAATTAGATTATCCAGCCCTTTCATCATCCCATTAACATGCTGGAAAGTTTCGCCATCGAGGTTGTTGGATCATAACCAGGATTTTTATTTATTTCTGTTTATGGGAATTTAGAAAGAAAAGCTTTATTTTCAGAAAAATCAGCTTATAAGTTCCATCTATGATTTTTATGAAGAGGAGGAATTGCCAGGCGACAAAATGGCATAAAAAAAACCTTGAAGAAACTTTGTCTGATTATCCGTTTGACTCTGAAGGGTGGGTACAGCTGAAACAATAGAGGGAGGGAATTGGAAGAATATTAAATTAAAATAATTATTATTATTTAAAAATTTGGTTGGCAATTTTTAACTAACACAGTGACTAAAAATTTTCAATGTTCATACAGAAATGCTAACAATAATGGCTGCTCTCTCACTTCCCTCTCGCCCCTCGTCTCCCCAAGATTCCCTCTTTTCTCGAGCCTTTCAAATGGTGAATGTATATTAAATGATTGGACTCATTTGCAATTTTAATAAAATGTTTGGGACTCATTTGAACTTTTAAAAAGTTTGGGAGTATGTTTGCAATTTTTGCTTTATTTTTCTTTTCTTTTTTTCTTTTGTTTTGTTTAAGTATAACGGTATATTAGTCATTTTATGCAAAAAATGTTGAAAATGTCGTTTTCTGCAAAGAAAGGTGTAAGGTAGAGGCGAAAATGCCAAAAAATGAAAGTTGAGAATGTTTTCCACAATAAATTTGAATAATAGGGACGTTTTGTGCCAATTACCCTATTGTTACATACCGGTACGTATTGCTACCCATGATACATATAGCTTAAAAAGAGATTTTTATTATAAACAAACAAGAGTCTATTGTTAATATGTGATGAACAGGAAACCAACTTAGAAGCTAAGAAGGAATGAAAGTTCATGGTATATACTGGTGTTTTGTACTAACTATAATGCAAAAACAAGAAATTAAGTGCTTACACGACAGTATGAGTACATACACATTTGGAATACAAACATCTGGTATTATATAACTTTGCATTTGATGTCAAAATTGGAGTATTGGTGTAACACTCTACCTCTACTAGGGTGATTGAAAAGGGGTCAGCATAGACACATTTCAAGGTAAAACCTTCATGATCACTAAGGATAAAAAGCGATTGGTATCCTGCTCTTGTATGCACAAGTCAGAAAGTCCTGCTAACTTGTTAGTGACTAAGAATGAGATGGCTGACGATGCATACTTATGGCTGGGTCATTTGTCAAAAAATTTGAGTATTGGGGGACTTATGACGATCACGAAGGTGCCTGACTATATATCGGGATGATGTTAACATATTGCATTGTTGCTAATGTTAAATATTGAGCTTTTGTACACAGTAGAGAAGTTTTAGGGGCCAGAAATTAAGATAACTGTGCACCATGATATAACTCGATACATTTACATTATCATGTTTTTGCACCTTACGAAACAATGGCTGAGCCTGATATATCACCCAGAGATGGAAGATATGAGATGATCTATCTCAATTGTGTTGATAACTGTGGTTAATTCTGATTTATGAAATATTTACTTCTGACTATCAGGACACAAAAACTTGGATGGACTAGGATCTGCAGTATCAACCATCTGTTCATGTAAAATTTTACTGATGACTCACTCCTGCTTGTTTTATACAATTATAGTGATTTAGCATTAGTGCACCGGTTTTCTTCCAAGTAATTGATGGCATCCTGTACAAGTTTATACAAAGTAGATATTCAACATTTCACAATATATACTTGTGTGTTTATTTCACTGAAGAGCTTACGGAAGCCAGCCATATGATTCAAACTGCAAACCTGAATCCACAAGAATTTCCTCCACACCCACATTATGTTGTTAACTTGGGCAAAATTGAAATTGTAAGGCACTGTCATGATGTGTGTGGGCTTTTAATAATTAATTGATCCTTTTTCCTTCATCGTAGGCATGGGATTGAGGTAAAATAATGGTGCTCCTTTAAATTCCAGATGTTGCGACAACACACTAGCCCAATTTCTTATGTATAAGAAGCAGTCCATACCTACCTCATTACCTTATTTTCCTCCTCGTAACATTCAATGCTGTCAAGCGTTCTACTCCTAAGGTAATAATTACTGAATTTTTTTGCAAGGCACTTTGGCATCAAGTTATCAACATTGAAAAGCCCTCGCACGACAATTGTCTATAGACCCAGAAGGAAGCATTGATTGGGACCAAAATCAACAGGCCTATAACATTACCTCATTTTTGCTTCATCCCACAGAAATGGATTGGACACTACAATAACTTTAATATCTCAAATTACCTTTCTATGTTAAAGCCAAAAATTTGTGTACCGAATCTCTAACCAGGAGTCATTATGATGTCACTTTTTCAAGCTCTTAGAATGATAACTACTATAAAGATTGCACTTTATTTATTTTCAATATCCCTCTAGTTGTTTGATTTACCACAAAGAAGCTTTGGGAAAATGTGATGGCTTTATTATTAGTAGTAAAACGAGGTGAAAGCTTACAATCACATTGAACAAGGTAACTAAAGAGTGTTTCAACATTTATGGTTTAACATAAAAAATGAGAGGAGAAAAGGATCCTTATAGAGTCAGGATGGTTACAACTTTTCGAGCAGAGTATTCTAACATTTTAATCAACACTTTCTTTTTTAGGCTTAACCACCTGTCGAATACATAATTGACTAAAAATCCATCATAAATTTTAATCTCAAACAAGTTGATCATTTAAACCGTTTCTTCACAGTACAATTGAAAAAGATGACCACAAAACTATTAGGTAATAACTGTTGGGACAGGTGGAAACGAAAAGCAAGAATTGAGATTTAATGGACACCAATTTGAAGTATAAATACAAGATCGCAAAAATACCATGAACAAGA